CTCCAAATGATCCCCCTCCGGTACCTTCTCTTTCTGGGGCTCTACCGACTGCTGAGACTTCTCCTAAGCAACCTTTGTGAAGGCTCCCTCTTGTTTGTTTATTTTGACTCATGTATATGTAGGGGTGGATTTTTTTGCCAAATTGCCGTGCCAACCGAATTACCAACCGTGCCATACCGATTTTGTGCCAAATTTTTTGTGCCAATCGGTAATGGTACGGTATTGTACCGTACCGAAATTTCTTGGTACGGTATTGGTAATGGATATCATTACCACGGTATTACCTTACCGTACCGAACATATAATATAATATATAAATTATAAATTATATAATATATAATTATATAACACATATTTATAATATTCTAATAATTTGATATGATGAAAGAGGCTCAACCTCGGTTCAAGATTCCAAATAGGAAGAAGATTGCGGCCAATGGGTGGGATTTATATGTGTTGGAGAAGTCTAAGTTATTTGAAGCAATGCATAATCAAAAGGTAAGTATCACAACCGATACTTGGACATCGGTACAAAACATTAACTACATGGTAGTTACCGCTCACTTCATGGATAGTGAATGAAAGTTGCACAAGCGGATCATAAACTTCATAAAGATCACGGGTCATAAGGGAGAAGACATTGGGAAAGTTCTAGAAGTGTGTTTGAACCAATGGAGGATAGAGAAGATCTTTAGCATGGGGGAAACTTCTATTTGTTTTGGTTCGTAACTTCTATTTGGATTGTAAGCTTAATTTTCATCATGAATTTTGATGCATCATTTGAATTATTGTGTGTGTGAATTGTAAATGATGAATAATAGATGAATTTAGGCTACAATGTATGAGATAAAGGTACAATAAAAAAGTTTTGCCCTTGAATTGGGTTAAAAAAGCAAAAACAAATTTTGTTCCAAAACAAAGTGGCAATTACCATTGCCATACAATGCCAACCGAACATTTGGCAATACCGAACTTCGGTATACCGAAAGTTTGGTATGGTAATGGTAATAGATTTTACTAAACCGAAAGTTTGGTACGGTAATTGGTACAAGGGTTTTGGTACGATAACCGTACCGAACCCACCCCTATGTATATGTACATATTTGTAACTTATCGGAGATATCAATAAATAAGTTTTGCTTCATTTCAACGTATTGTGTTAAATACACCAAAACCTTCTTCACTGAGTGGGGTCGGCTATATGAATCTTAGAACGCCATTGTGCTCGGTCCTGTGTCATGTCCTCCATTAGATCCAAGTACTCTAAGTCTTTTCTTAGAGTCTCTTCTAAAGTTTTCCTAGGTCTTGCTCTACCCTTTCGGCCCTGAACCTCTGTCCCGTAGTCACATCTTCTAACCGGAGCGTCAGTAAGCCTTCTTTGCACATGTCTAAACCACCGTAACCGATTTTCTCTCAACTTTCCTACAATTTCGGCTACTCCTACTTTACCTCGGATATCCTTATTCCTAATCTTATCCTTTCTCGTGTGCCCACACATCCAACGAAGCATCCTCATCTCCGCTACACCCATTTTGTGTACGTGTTGATACTTCACCGCCCAACATTCTGTGTCATACAGCATCACCGACCTTATTGCCTTCCTATAAAATTTTCCCTTGAGCTTCAGTGGCATACGACGGTCACACAACACGCCGGATGCACTCTTCGACTTCATCCATCCAACTTGTATTCTATGGTTGTGATCTCCATCTAATTCTCCGTTCTTTTGCAAGATAGATCCTAAGTAGCGAAAACGATCGCTCTTTGGTATTTTCAGATCTTCAATCCTCACCCTTAACTCATTTTGGCCTCCATTTGCACTGAACTTGCACTCCATATATTCTGTCTTTGATCGGCTTAGGCGAAGACCTTTAGATTCCAACACTTCTCTCCAAAGGTTAAGCTTCGCATTTACCCCTTCCTGAGTTTCATCTATCAACGTTATATCGTCTGCAAAAAGCATACACTAAGGAATATCATTTTGAATATGTCCTGTTAACTCATCCATTACCAACGCAAAAAGGTAAGGATTTAAAGATAAGCCTTGATGTAATCCTATAGTTATGGGGAAGCTTTCGGTTTGTCCTTCATGAGTTCTTACGGCAGTCTTTGCTCCTTCATACATATCCTTTATAGCTTGGATATATGCTACTCGTGCTCATTTCTTCTCTAAAATCCTCCAAAGAATGTCTCTTGGGACCCTATCATACGCTTTTTCCAAATCTATAAAGACCATGTGTAAATCCTTTTTCCAATCTCTATATCTTTCCATCAATCTTCGTAAGAGATAGATTGCCTCCATGGTTGAGCGCCCTGGCATGAACCCGAATTGGTTGTCCAAAACCCATGTCTCTTGCCTCAATCTATGCTCAATGACTCTCTCCCAGAGCTTCATTGTATGACTCATTAGCTTAATACCCCTATAGTTCATGCAATTTTGTACGTCGCCCTTATTCTTGTAGATAGGCACCAAAGTGCTCTTTCGCCACTCATTTGGCATCTTCTTCGTTTTCAAAATCCTATTGAAAAGGTCAGTGAGCCATGCTATACCTGTCTCTCCCAAGACTTTCCACACTTCGATCGGTATATGGTCTGGGCCCACTGCTTTTCTATGCTTCATCTTCTTCAAAGTTACAACCACTTATTCCTTCTTGATTCGACGATAAAATGAGTAGTTTCTACACTCTTCTGAGTTACTCAACTCCCCTAAAGAAGTACTCATTTCATGTCCTTCATTGAAAAGATTATGAAAATAACCTCTCAATCTGTCTTTGACCGCGTTCTCTGTAGCAAGAACCTTTCCATCCTCATCCTTGATGCACCTCACTTGGTTTAGGTCCCTTGTCTTCTTTTCCCTTGCTCTAGCTAGTTTATAGATATCCAACTTTCCTTCCTTGGTATCTAGTTGCTTATACATATTGTCATAAGCCGCTAACTTAGCTTCTCTCACAGCTTTCTTCGCCTCTTGCTTCGCTCTTCTATACCTTTCACCATTTTCATTGGTCATGTCCTTGTATAAGGCTTTACAACATACCTTCTTAGCCTTCACCTTTATTTGTAGCTCCTCATTCCACCACCAAGATTCCTTTTGGTGTGGAGCAAAGCCCTTGGACTCTCCTAATACCTCTTTTGCTACTTTTCGGATACAACTAGCCTGGAATCCCACCTTTGGCTAGCTTCCCCCTCTCTATCCCACACACACTGGGTGATTACTTTCTTTTTGAAAATGGCTTGTTTTTCTCCTTTTAGATTCCACCATCTAGTCCTTAGGCACTTCCAAGTCGTGTTCTTTTTTCTTACTCTTTTGATATGTACATCTATCACCAACGAGCGATGTTGATTAGCCAAGCTCTCTCCCGGTATAACTTTGCAATCCTTACAAGTTATACGATCCCCTTTCCTCATTAGAAGAAAATCTATTTGTGTTTTTTATGACCCACTCTTGTAGATGATCACATGTTTTTCTCTCTTCTTAAAGAATGTGTTGGCTAAGAAGAGATCATATGCCATTGCAAAATCCAAGATAGCTTCCCCATCCTCGTTTCTCTCCCCAAAACATAAAATATCAAAATGGTCCACAAGATGGTTGAATAAGCCCATAGATATCCCCTTGAATTCTTTGCAAAAATGATGGGGATTCAACATCAACCTTTAGTTGTGATGGTGTAATTATCAACTTTCCTTGGGAACAAGCCTTGCAAGGGTTATCATTTGAGACATTAATGTGTCTGGTCACTAATGAATGTCCATTAGAGTTGGTATTGATCCTACGCATCATGGTGGATCCTGGATGACCCAGACAGTCATGCCAAAACATATAAACTTTTGAATCAATGAACTTCTGGTTCATGATAGTATGTGCCTCAATTGTCTTTATGTATGTATAATACAATCCACTTGATAAACCATGCAACTTCTCCAATATACACTTTTAGGTATTATTGGAGGTAATGCATAGATATTCCACATTTTATGCACTTTTTGTTTCAATGTGGTATCCATTTAGACATATGTCTTTAAACTCAACAAATTTCGAGTGGATCGAGTAGCGTACAACGCATTTTGTATGAACAATATTGTTCCATTTGGCAACATGATCTGGACTTTTCCTGAGCCTTCAATTACATCTGATTGCCCTGATATTGTTGTTACCTTTACTTTTGCAAGATCAAGTTCGAGAAATACTTTCGATCTCGAAGTATTGTATGCGTAGTTGCGCGGTCTGCAAGACAAAAATCTCCACCATTGCTTTTGTTTTAAGAACAACCATAATTTTTATCCATGCTCTCTGAGTAATGGAAATTACAGTTAAAAACAATTTATTCATAATGGAATACTACTTTTATTGAATTGAAAATGCAAGCATTAAATCACAAGTACGAATAACAAGAGTACATCAAACAGAAATGATTTAATCGAACCCAAACACTTCATTCCCTCTTTCAATAATGAAGTTTGAAACATCTAGGTGGGTTGTGTTCAATTGTCCAGATAAATCGAACACTGGATCAGGTATATCCATTTGTTTAGCCTAGTCGAGAAAATTGGTCTCGACACCCTTCTTCTTGAGGGAGGCTTGATACAGATCCACTAGATGTTTTGGGGTACGACAGGTACGTGCCCAGTGCCCAGTGCCAATTGCCACCACACCTATGGCAAACTCCTTCAGGATTTCTAGGAGTGTTCATATAAGATTTGCCTTTTTGGCGATTTGCATTTTTAAAGATCGGGCCTGTATTATGTCTTGGAATCTGGTTGTAAAATTGGACACCATGGTTCTTGCCCTTTCGGCCTCGCTTGTGGCCACGTCCTCGTTTGTAATTATTGCCATGAAAGGATGTGGTATTCCATTCAAGGGAAACAATATTCACTTCTAGGAATGGTGCTAATCCAGAATGCAGGGACTGATGATTCTTCATAAAAAACTCATAGTTTTGCTCAGCTACAAGGAGCACATATATCAACTGGTTGTATTGAGTAAAGCCTCACTCTCTATACTGCTACTGCAGGAGCACGTTGGAGGCATGAAAAATACTGAAAGTCTTTTCCAGCATGTCTTCCTCAGTAATGGTTTCTCCACAGAGCTTCAACTGGGGGGTAATTCTGAACATAGCAGAATTGTACTCAGCCACCATCTTAAAATCATAGATCCTTAGGTGAGCCCACTCATAATGAGCCCTCGGAAGAATCATCATTTTCTGGTGATTGTATCTATTTTTCAATGCCTTCCAGAGGGTTAGTGGATCTTTAACCGTGAGGTACTCACTCTTCAGTCCTTCATCAAGGTGGCGATGGATAAAGATCATGGCTTTCGCCCGATCTTGAGAGGATGCACTGTTATCCTCCTTAATAGTTTCTCCAAGATTTGTTGCCTCCATATAAATCTTAGCATCCATTACCCAAGTAAGGTAATTCTTCCCAGTAATATCCAAGGCAACAAAATCAAGGTTTGCCAAGTTTGCCATTTTCTTTTCTGAAAGAAAAATGAGGTGTGTAAGAACTTGCAATAATATGTATTCTTAAGGAACATATTGTTAGAACTTCTGGTTTTTACAAATTTTTCATTTTGATCTTCAAGCCAAAATGATGAGCACTCGAAACTTTAGGTTCGAGATTTACATGATAAATGAGGAGGGTGATTGTACCGCACCATTCTCATCGAAATAACATAGGATGGGCGATTATTTCGCACCACTCAAGCAGTAAAAAAATTAAATATGCAGAGCAAGGTGGGTGATTATATCACACCACCTAAAATTGCAATAAAAGTAAATAGCAGGCAAATTTAAATATGCAAGGTAAGGAGGGCGATTATACCGCTCCACCTAAAATTCGCAATAAAATTAAATCTGCAATCCAAGATGGGCGATAATACCGCACCATCTTTGATCTTAGCAAAGATAAATAAACATTGGGTTAGAAATTAGGAACTATACCAAATAAGAAATCAAAAATATAAGTAACTGTTAGGTTGAGAACTAAAAGTAGGCATGGTGCGAACAATTCTTCACGAGGGTATACCCAGCAGTTGAGGCAGAGGAAGAAGAAGAACAGTAAAATCCTTAAAGGAAACTTTTTTTTTCTTTCGGCGAAGAGCAATGAGAAAAGTTTTAGGGTTAGAGAGTCGTGCTGATAACGTGTTATAAATAGGCAAAAGTTAGAGAGATAACTTTGCTAGAGACAGGAGCGAGGCTGTAGTAAAATATTATAAAATGATTACAGATAAGAGAGAAATAGGAGGATACTTAAAATATTCGAACTTTCTTTCTTTTCTTGTTGTTCTTGTTATTGTTTAACACTCGTAATGCTCTATTTATAGAGCAACTACCTTGGAAACAAACAAATTACACTATTAATCATATGAAAAGTTTACTGTATGCATGTGGGCATACATACCCATTATTTACAATAGTCTATCACAATTGATATTGTGTAAAATTCTCTCTTACAATACAAAAACTTTTTCTCTATTTGCTTTCTCTCTCTATTCTCAAGTTGAAGTTATGTAGTAAGGTTGCGAAGTAAAGACGTTTATCTAGTAAAATAGTGGTTACAGGGATAAAGTTTTTTAGGCAAGCACACTTTCAGTACTTTTTCTCTATTTGTTTCAATAGGAGGAGTAGGAGCAGCTTCTGGATTTGCCGGTGGATAATCGGAAACTGGAGTATCTGCAACCAGGGTTGTTGTTGTTTTAGCTGGGCGGTCAGCAACTTGTTCTATCTTCTCATGCACCAAAACACTTGAAAAGAGCTCGTATTGCTACTTCAAGGAATGAGCTACAAGGATATTGGGCTTGTAAGCATCAATACAACTACTTTCATATCAATCAATATCATCTCCTCCTGTGTTGACACTATCGTTGATGATTTTTTCATTTTTGTGTTTATGATATTTTCCTTGATTTACTTTAGTTTCTTCTTACCTCTCCTCCCATTAAATAGATCGTTCATGCATGGACCTTGTCTCTTCCTTCACTATAAATTAATCTCATCATTGGACTAAAAACTAAGAAAAACAAAGAATTGAAATTGTTTTTTAATACAACGAAATTGGGGGAGGGACTTTGGGTTATAGCATACAACATTTGTCATAAATAATAAGGTATCAAATTCATCATTTATAAGAGTTCAACCTAATTAAGAGCTTTTATTAACAAGTAAAAATGAATACTAGTACTAAGGTTGTAGTACTAGGGCAAAGAATTGTCATGCATATTTCCTGCCGCACTTGATTTCAAATTCCTATTACCATAAAAAAAATTAATGAAAAGGGTTTGAAAACTTTACATTTTAACAAAAAAATCATCTTATAACTTTATTTAATGTTAAGAAAAAAAAACAAAAGAAAAATCCAATTAAAAGCGTGTGAAAAACAAGTGGGTATTCCAAATCCTAACCCCGACCCATCATTGTCTTGAACCCAGACTAGTAGGGAACTCGATATTGATAGAAAAATAAAACCAGTTGAAGAAGGATCCATTCTTTACTCTTTCCGTTTTATCTATATCATCAAATTGGTTTGCCCAAAAGGATGAAACACATGCCTTGATGCCACCAGTCCCCAGAGCAATCAGATAATCCAAAGAAGAACACTTCATACTGTGCTGGAAAAGCGGAAGGACATACCGAATCCACACATTCTGGAGGCTTCAATGCAGGAATTGATGCAGAGAGAATCAAAGTACCCATCTCATACACCAAATAATAATTAGTAAACGGATCAGCAAATTCATATGCTCTAATCCCAAATATATATACATATACATATATGTGTGCATTTATATTTGGAAGTAATCTGTCTATTTCTTCAAGCAGGGAAGAACCCTTGGCATTGAATTATGAACATACACAACTAAATCTCATGAGGTTGTACTTGCAGAGAACCATTTGCACGATTATTGGCTTATATGTTGCTCCTTACTGTGATAAAACTCATTTTATTTCTACTTTTTGTAATTCATATTATTTGATGTTTTGGAGATTAATTTGTTTGTGGAGAGACATAGTTCAAATTTAATCATTAAAACCCAATTTAACTTCAAAATTTTAGTTTTCCTTCATGACCTTTTCTCTGTGAATGTTGGTAACGTAACAGATAAAAAGGAATAAGTAAGTTGATTTTCATCTTTGCATATCTTTATGGAAACTCCGCCTGTGTAAGTTTATCTTACATTGCCGGTCCCAAGCCCGGATAAAGGAGGAGGGGGAGGGTGTCAGGTAGTCGACAGCCGGCACTCCACAGTTACGTCGAATCCTTATGACAATGAATCCGGAACGAAATCGCGCTAAAGTTAGGACGTCACCCGTAAGTGGCGCGCTGTGTGGCCCGAGCACAATGATAAGTGAGCAAGGGTCGCTGTATCTCCATCGGCACCTGGATGCAGTGTTAAATGAGCAAGGGGGCCATAGAAACTTCTTTTCAAACGACTCCACTCAAAGTTGTTTGGGAGCATATGCTCCTATCAACTTTACACAGGACACACAAAAGAAGTACTTTGATCCTATTAGACGGGGGATGGTGAAGAAGCTAGGACAGAAGGGTAGAGTTCAAGAGAGTAGAATGCGTTTAGGAACGTGGAATATAGGAACCTTAACGGGAAAATCTATGGAAGTAGTGGAAGTTATGGTGAGGAGAAGGATAAATATTATGTGCCTACAAGAAACTAAGTGGGTTGGTCTTAAGGCAAAGGATCTAGAAAACTCAGGGTTTAAGCTTTGGTATTCGGGCACAAATAGAACGAGAAACGGTGTTGGCATCATTGTGGACAAGACCTTGACACAAGATGTTGTAGATGTCAAGAGGGTAGGAGATAGAATCATGGCAATCAAGATTGTAATATGACAAGAACTCATCAATGTGATTAGTGCGTACGCACCTCAAGTAGGGTTGGATACGAGTTCGAAGGAGAAATTTTGGGAAGACCTTGGAAACTTGGTGCAAGGAATTGCTCAGACGGAGAAGTTATTTATAGGAGGAGATTTAAATGGACACGTGGGCAGGGAGACAGGCAACTATGGAGGTTTTCATGGTGGCCATGGTTTTGGGGAGAGAAATGAGGATGGGGAAGCTATCTTGGATTTTGCAATGGCATATGATCTCTTCTTAGCCAACACCTTCTTTAAGAAGAGAGAAGAACATGTGATCACCTACAAGAGTGGGTCGTCAAAAACACAAATAGATTTTCTTCTAATGAGGAAAGGGGATCGTATAACTTGTAAGGATTGCAAAGTTATACCGGGGGAGAGCTTGGCCAATCAACATCGCTTGTTGGTGATGGATGTACATATCAAAAGAGTGAGAAAAAAGAACAAGACTTGGAAGTGCCCAAGGACTAGATGGTGGAATCTAAAAGGAGAAAAACAAGTCATTTTCAAAGAGCAAGTAATCACCAAGTGTGTGTGGGATAGAGAGGGGGAAGCTAGCCAAAGGTGGGATTCCATGGCTAGCTGTATCCGAAAAGTAGCAAAAGAGGTATTAGGAGAGTCCAAGGGCTTTGCTCCACACCAAAGGAATCTTGATGGTGGAATGAGGATGTACAAACAAAGGTGAAGGCTAAGAAGGAATGTTGTAAAGCCTTATACAAGGATAGGACCGATGAAAATGGTGAAAGGTATAGAAGAGCGAAGCAAGAGGCGAAGAAAGTTGTGAGAGAAGCTAAGTTAGCGGCTTATGACGATATGTATAAGCGACTAGATACCAAAGAAGGAGAGTTTGATATCTATAAACTAGCTAGAGCAAGGGAAAAGAAGACAAGGGACCTAAACCAAGGATGACCAAGAAAAGACAACTTTCACATGCCCCTTTGGTACTTTTGCTTATCGTCGCATGCCTTTTGGTTTATGCAATGCTCCGGCCACGTTTCAAAGGTGTATGGTAAGTATCTTTTCAGATTTTGTGGAAAAGATTATTGAGGTATTTATGGATGATTTCAGTGTGTTTGGTGATTCATTTGATAGTTGTTTGGAAAATCTCACAATAATTTTGAAACGATGTGTAGAAACTAACCTTGTGCTTAATTGGGAAAAATGTCACTTTATGGTTAGACAAGGCATAGTTGTAGGGCATATTGTTTCAGAAAGAGGAATTGAAGTGGATAAATCGAAAATAGATCTTGTACGCTACTTACCCTCTCCTACTTCGGTTCGAGAGGTTCGTTCGTTTCTTGGTCATGCAGGATTTTATAGGCGATTTATCAAGGACTTCTCCAAGATCTCAAACCCTCTTTGCTGTCTCCTCCAGAAAGATGTGGCGTTTGACTTCAACAAGGAGTGTGAGAAGGCATTCAATCACCTCAAAGAAATGCTAACTTCGGCCCCTATCATAGTTCCACCAGATTGGAGCCTTCCTTTTGAGCTTATGTGCGATGCTTCCGATTATGCATTAGGAGCTGTTTTGGGGCAAAGGAAGGAAAAGAGGCCGCATGTTATCTATTATGCCTCTCGGACTTTAAATGATGCATAATTGA